TCACATCATAGTCCTGAGAAACTTGTAAAAAAAAGTCTGCTTTTTTTGTTTCAATTTAAAGGGTACAAAATTTACATCTACATAATTTTGAACTTGGTATTCTTTTTAAAAAAAGAATGCATAAATGCAGTGTAAAATTTGTATTCTGAGTTAGCATGCAAGTTGAGAAGTACTGTGTTAAAAACACCCCACCCTGTCTGAGTGCATTTGGGAAAATTGTAAATATATTTAACTGTAAATATATTTGAAATCCCTCATAGAACGTCCTGCTTGGTTTATGATGTTTTTTGCATCTTTTGGCTGAATTTTAATATTACAGTTGTTTATTGTATTTTTACTCTGTGTATTTTAATGAAAATTAAAGGGGCAGCAGGTGCTAGGGAGAGCAAGCGAGAGCCCTGTGTTAAGTTATGGTAAAATGTTGCACGCTCAAATGTTGACTACTTGTTGCTATGGCAATGGATTTGGATTCTGCACACTGCAGGCCTCTTGCTATTTCTAAATAAAGCCCATTTTCTCACTCATCACTGGAAGAAGATCCAGTTGGAGCTGATGCTGTGAATTTTATCCATCACTGAAACACCAAAGCTTTAAAAATCAACAGTTATACTTTGGTTAGAAAAAACACAGTAGGAGACACATGAGTTGTTGGTGCATCAATTTACATAAGATGTTTATACAATATTAATGCATTTAGACTTCAACTGCATCCCAGTCGCAAACAAAGAATTAAAAAAAAAACCCTGAAGAGACTACATTTAAAAAATGTAATTGTAAATATTTCCTATACAATCTTGTGAATAATGAATTCATAATAATTTTACTTAACTTCAAATGTCTAGTTTGAATCAAAAAGACATATCCTGCATCCCTGCTCTTTGTATACTGTCCAGTACCATTATTACCCTGTGGGGGGAGCCTGTGTGTGAGGTAAAGAGAACAGACCGTGCAGTATGTGCACAGTCCTGACATCTGACTCTAGTGACGGGGACTTCCATGCTTCTTTTTTTGTTTTGTTTTTGGGACCCTTTTACACACAAACACACACACATGCACACATGCATACACACACAAGGAATACATATGGTTTTCCTCCCACTCAAGGATGCAGCAGCCTTATGTTAAACAATTTAATGACTCTGGTCTCTGAAATAAACATGTGTGTTTGCACCATTTACAGAGAGAAGTCACTGACTGTGTGAGCAAATTACATCTGACAGCATAGAAAGAAAATACTCAGCAAAGACCTTGTGTTTTACACTGTGTTTCTAGAAGAATTGTCTAAAACTTAAGAATGTGCTCAAATCAATAACTCCGTAATACTGTTATTTTAATTTAATTAATTTTAATTATTCTTTTCACTTTTTATCTTTTTTTCATTCAACATGTTGATTGTGTTCAGGGGTTGTTTTTTTTTTTCAAAGTCTGATATGTTTAAGTCAGAATTTAATTTTAACAATAGCAAAATTAGCTCCAATAAAGTTGACTGGGGAATCATTTGGGTGGGCGTGTGACTACAATCACCTACTGTGTGTGTGTGTTATTGTCAAATTATTAGCTTTTGCGGTCACTCTAAACAGCTGTTTGCAATAAAGTGAAATGTTAAACTGTACAAATCCCAAATCTCCCAGATGACTGATTCGATCTTTGTGTGAACTAACAGGGAGAATCACTCAAGAATGGGGAGGTGCATGGAACCACCCTCACAGGTGAGCGTGAGTTTGAATTTATATATTTAAAGAGAAATGATAAAGTTGTGTATTGTTACCCTGACCTCTTGTACCTTTGCCAAAACACTTTTTTTCTTAATGCCTTACTTCTGATTGTATTTCCACATAGACTACCATCCACCCACCCCATCCCCGATGACTGGTTTTCATCGCTATCAGTTTATGGTCTTTGAGCAGCCTTCAGATGTGATGGTGTCCCTCACTGATGAGGAGAAATCTTCACGTGGTAAACACTGCAACATCACAAATTACACACTGTCATCACAGACCACTACCGCCCTCTCTGCCTGTGCTGTAGTTGTTAAGACAGATCACACAACGCTATGAATACAACTCAGCTTTTCATATATAATCCACCTAATTGGTTTTTGTAAATCTGGAACACTTCCAGCCCAATAAATCTTAACATCTGGCCTGTGACTACATATCAATAATAATTTTGCCCTTGAGCTAATTTATATATATCTTTTTTGTCCTATACTTTCTACATTACATTACATTATACTGACATTTTATCAAACAAAAATCAAGTTACATTTTTTATTGAATATAGAACACATAATTTGGCCCTGTAGTGACGGTTGCAGCAGATGCTCCCAGCTCCTTTGATTATATATTATAGGTTTGAGTTCACCAGCTGCTAAGTTACCTCTGAGCATGGCACCATCCCCACACACTGCTCCCTGGGTGCTTAAAGCTGCCCACTGTTCACTTTGGTGATGGGTTAAAAGCAAAGGTCACATTTGGGTGTGTGCAGTGCTTTGCTGTGTCACAATGTCACAATTTTTTTACATTCAACAGCTATAGACTAACCATTCCTTTACCAAATATATATATTTGCCATTTCAGAATATTTCTGTTAGCATTTGTTAATGCGTAAACATTTCTTTGCAACTGAAAAGGGAAAGGAGAAAATGCAGAGAGAGGGCAGCATGCCTGCCGAGAAACACACCATCCTGCACTTTTAATGGCTCATTGTAAATGACACATAATTACAATTGTAGAAAATCACAATTTTTTTAAAAAAAATCTACATATATATCTTACCTGAAACTCTTATATAGTCTTTTATCCATGACTCTAAACCCATCTTTCCAACATCTGTTGTGTTACAGACATACACTGTTCTGTAGATGTCAGATATATGCTGTGTTTATTGTCTATTTTGGGATAAAGGGTTTACCATGTTAGGATTTAACAAATGTGTCAGTGATGCCACAGAAGCTCATGTTATTGCTGATCTGATGAATTATGTTAATCATATGCCTCAACACCATTTAACCATCTTTAAATCCCTGCGTTGGCCCAAGGCTGTTTTTTTTTTTTTTTCATAGACAAATGGCATCACACGTACATCACAAGCTATTAGGAGCATTTGGGTTTGCTTTAGGAAGGATCATTTTCTCAAAGTGCTTGAACTTGACAAGGGAGATGTTAATGAGGTTGGTGAGTAAGTCCTCAGTTAGTGTTAATGCCTGCAGGCCCAGATAAGTACTGTTGTCTCCAACACACACCTGCAAAGTGTTTGACCACATCTGAATCAACGCTTTTCCACATTTTTTACAACTTAGCCCCCTTAATGTCAGGTGAGTTTAAAGTGTGTTTTCTATTGGTTTGATTATCAGCTCTCAGAGGACATTTGTGTTTGTCTTGCAGAAAAGTCAGTTCCTGTTTTGTTTACGCTTCAGGTTTCTTGACATTACGGTCTCTGAAGGTGGGCACCTGCACCGGGGTGCACAGTGCAGGAGTTTCTTGCAGGAGGCGTGTCTGGCTGTCTGTTCTACTCAGGCCACAACCTATGATTTGAGGAGAAATCAGGTTGTTTTGAGACTTCAAGCACTGCCAGTCTCTGCTGTTTGAAGTTTTGACAGCAATGTCAGCAGACAATCCAAAGAAATTAGGCTAAAGTCTGTTTGATGTTGAGACCTGTGGAGAAATAAAGAAGTGTCAAAAGTAATATTAGTTTTGTGTGCACATACAGTGATGTTGAGATGAACAGTTCTGACACAGTTTGGGGTCTTGACTGTGTCAGAACTGGTTAAGATGAAGAAATAATTGCATGAATAACAAACTCCTCTTCAGAATATTTTATTACAATTTTCTGCTTCCAGCTCAAATTCAATAGTTTCCTGCTCAGTATGAAGCAGAGGAGTTCCACCCATCTTTAATCTACTGAACAACTATTGTCTCCCCCCCTTCTCAGGGGGAAATTAAATTTAGAAATGTTTTATATTTATATATTTGATTCCGTGGTTCACCAAAGGACATGACTGATTCTGTGTTAGTTGTGGTAGAAAATACATTTTAAAAATAAATAAATAAAATACATTGATTTGAACATCTTTTAACAAACACAACAACAAAGAGGTAATTATAGTAAGATTTATCCTAGTGTTTTCTTCTCCATGAGTCAACCATTGGACAATGATGTATTAAAGGCTTATCCTGGAGGTGGCTCTTTGCAAGCTAACAATGTCTGTGAGTTTTCTTATTGAGAAAAGGACAAAGGCTAAAGCACCATCAAAAATGTTGTAATTAATGACCTTGTCAAATATTAAACAGGAAAACAATTTAAATTAATTTTGGTTTAGCACTTAATCAATGACCAACTTTATTTTTGTTTTTAGTGGCAGTGGTGGCTTAGTGGCTAAGCAAGTGGACTTGTGTCCAGAAGGCTTCAGGTTCGAGTGCAGTTCAAGTGGTGATGGGTTAAAAGCAGAGGTCACATTTGGTTGTGTGTGCTGTGTCACAATGACAAGGAGCATACGTTCTTTTATTTATCTGAGCATTTTTCATTTGTCTACTACATTCACAGATATTATATTCAACATTCAGAAAGTTTTCTGGCAGTGAACTCCATCATCTGCTTTGTTGTACCAGGACCACTGTAGCTCTGTTGTTCACTCTTGCTGTCACCATTGGCTGTACCATTGGCTTGAAGTATCTATCTGTCTTCTGTCACTGTCTACCAAACATTTCTGTGTGTGACGTCACTCAATTCAGCCTCTTCATCTACTGGGCTGTAGTGGGTCTCGGTGTGCCAGGAAATTAGTAATGAGTGATGAATTATGAATACAAACATATTCGATGACACAGTCGTCGCTGCTTTAGCAGAGTTCCTACATGTACCTGCTGTACCATAGTCCTGCACAGGGACAAGGGGATTCCTAAGTCTTCCTACCTCCTCCGTGAAGTATGTTAGCTTATTAGCATCTGTCCTCTTCCCTCCATGTGCTACGACACAGGGAGCATCTATCATAGCCCATGACATTAATTGATGTGATTTGCAAAAGGAGCACATTGAGTCGTGGGTGGGAGACTCCTAATGATCATTTTCCACTTCCAGGAGTGCAGTCATTGACTCAATTTTAGCGCAAATTTGTCGTCTTTTTTCTTTTCATCTCTGACCATCACTTAAGCAATAACCTGTGTTAAGGTTATGGATGTGGGTCAGTGAACTGATGGAGACAGCTGGTTCGTTATACAAGAAACTACAGGGGGCCAGTAGCACTTGGCACTGGAACCAGGGGCGTGATCGTAGGGAATCCTCGTTGCTCTGGCTCAGGAAGGGTGTCCTGTCCCTATGCCAGGGTGGGGGGTTCAAGCATGGGCACACACAGGCCCTTATGATTCTTGTCAGCTATTTGGCAAGTCCTCAATATGTCCTGCTATTGTTTAGTGATGGCGAGTCAGTTTGTCAAGGGAAACAGTGTTACAGTGCTGGACAGGGACACTGTTGTTTCAGCCTACACAGTAGTTTGCACATGCACAGTGTACACATGCAGCCCTCTGTCTTCTGACTTGGACCTCAGCAGACACAGACCCATCGCAGACGAAAAAAGTGGTGAAAACAAGAAAACCGTGAACCTTTTTTTTCCTTTGGCTGCTTTCATAAGGGTTGCTACAGTTTGTTTTTTTTCCCCCGGTCCACATTAACAGTTTGTCAACAATTTTACAGATTTTTACAGTTGATGCCGTTTCTGACCCAAACGTTTTTTCTGACAAACTTTTCTAGAGCTAGAGAGTAAGCAGGGAGAAAATGCAACTCCTCAAAGAAAAACCATCAGTCAGACAATGTTCTTGTTGAAGGCAATCCACCATTTGGCCATATAATGGAGATTATTTGTTTTTTTTTAAAAAATATATAAACTATATGAGAAAAGGAATCACTCCTCCAACTTCTGACCAGAAGAACTACTTTTAAACTTAACAAAAAATAAATACATTTTTTTTCCACATGAATTAGGAAGGAGAAGATAAATGTGAGAACCACATTGTTGTTGTGAGTGAATGGATCGCACTGGAGTTATCTTCTGGATGCTGCACGTTGCTCATCTTGCCTCCTCAAGCCCCTACTGCCAGCTCAGCACACTCCACAGTAATTGAAGCCATTTGCAATGTTGCAGTGTGGTAATGGGCAGATCCATGTCTACCAACCACCCACAGCCTAT